ATTTCATTTCTACGGGATTATTACTAATTTGACCATGAATATTCTAATATTATTGAATCTTAATATATAATTGAGGCTAATATTATATTGCTAATATTTTATTTAACACGTTGACTACGTATTGGTACATATGTGTACCACGAAATGTATTTCTCCAGGACGTAGTGGTACATAATTCAGGTTGCCTAACATCGGCCTATTCCGAGAACAAAAAAGGCAAAAAAAGGCCGATAATTCAATGTATACAAGTTTATTTGTAGGTTCCGCTATAAAAATTCCATTTATTTTCTTGTTGTAGTATTTAAAATTTAATTAGGAAGTATCCCTATCATAAATTTTAGCCGGCCAACGCAATTGAGAAAAACTAAATCCCGGAATTTGTCCGGAAAAATGACCGTCTGGCAACCCTGCTTAAAAAAAGTACAAAAAATGAAATAATAGTACAAGATGAAGCAATCGTAGTCAACGTGTTAATATATAATTCTCACCTGCAAGAACAGCTGCTCCGGCGACGATTCCAATTGTATCGTATGGCAACTTCCATGTTGCCGGCTGGTTGACTGGTGTTGCCATTTGTGCTTTCTTCGTCAATTTTAGGACAGGCGACACGTATGGCAACACTGCCGTTGTTGGTGGATTGATTAGTGTTGCCATTTGTGGTTTCTTCGTCAATTTTAGGACAGGCAACACGTATGGCAACACCGCCGTTGCCGTCTGGTTGATTAGTGTTGCCATTTGTTGTGTCAATCTCTGACCTGTCAACAACGCGTATGGCAACACTGCCGTTGGTGGCTGGTTGACTGGTGTTGCCATTTGTTGTTTCCTCGTCAATCTTGGCCCTGGCAACAGCGCTGGCGACGCCGTCAACAGTTGGCGTGGTAATCAGCTGGTTCACAAGATGGTTCATGGTGACAGCTTAATTATGAATAATATACTGAAAAAAACAAAGAATCAGGAGATAAAAATAAATTTATCTCGTACGTAACAAAATATGTTTGAAGAACAACAGAACATTTTAAAATTTCACGAAAATATAAATTAATGCAATTGCTATAATGTTAAATGTGCTCCTCAGAACCAATAACAAGTGATACTATTATATAATTATATTGTCAATTGAGTATCATTATTCATTAATTCATATCATCGTTTAACACGATTGAAGGATAACCCATTCACAATTTTTAAACAATACGTTATTTTTGATTATTTATAATGTACGCATTATTATTGTCATAGATTATCAAAATTTATTAATTTCAGTAAGTAATAATACCATATTTATAAATTAATTAATATTAATATTTATATTAATTATTAGACATTATTTAAATAAATAGAAATTATTATAGATTATTAAAATCTATTCACGTTTAAACAGAGATGGTAATGGTACCGTTGGAGAGGTCAGAATGTTTAAACCAGCTTAATCCTATTTTATCCAGTTTTATCAAGTTTATTGAGTTCAAGCAGAATTGCTTCCGCGCACTCAGAAGAACCAAGGGGTAATATTGTCCGAATAGTGACTCGCCCATTTCACTAGCAGAGAGTTAACGTATCACTGATACGCCCTTTCTTCGTGCCATACTGGGTCAGGCTGACCCATACAAGCGCGAGAAGTGTATTGCTATTGCAAGTGTGATGTTAACTGTGCTACAGGCATGGGAGATACATAATATATAGGAGATAAATATATGGTCTTAACTGTGCTACAGGCATGGGAGATACATAATATATAGGAGATAAATATATGGTCTTAACTGTGCTACAGGCATGGCAGATACATAATATATAGGAGATAAATATATGGATCATCACGAACAGCTCGATAGACTTGGTCTTTATTGATATTTTAAATCAGAAAAGAACATGTTCCATCACGAACGCTGGCCACAGAGTTGACTGATGTGTGGGCCATAGAGTTGATTTGTATTGTTATTTTATTTTAAATTCATTGTTAATAATAAATTTAAAAGGTATACATTTAAATGAATTTTCAGGGGTATGTCACAATGATACCAGAGGCGTTAGTCTCAACCTTCCACTGGTCCGTTTAGAAATAGAGAAAAATGGTACGGTTTTTAATTGTGTAAAACATTTTAACGAACTGCCTGATGATTTCAGAATAAACTGTTACTAAATCTATTTTAAAGACAAAATTTCGTGATCATATTCTTGCTCAATATTAATTTAACGTTGTTTATCATATAGTTTTTTCTTGTCACAATTTACTTATGTACTGCCTTTACTTTAGAATGTAATATTTGTATTAATTGTCGTTGTACTTGTTGCCACTATTATGTTCATACTCGTCACCTATTACGCATGCGAAGCTTTTTTATAGCTTGTATAGGCCTTTCACCTGGAAGCATTTATTTCTAAATAGCATGTTTTTTCTTATTCTATTGAGTCGTGCTGTGTTGCTTCTGTGTGTGAAAGAATAAAGAATAAAGAAAGAATAAAGATGATACCAAGATCAAGTCATCATGATAACTCGAGTAAAGCATCATAGCTTGCAGCAGGTGGGCAGGTAGAGAACATATATATACTAAATAAACATGATGCTAAAGACAACATGAGATGATACCAAGTTCAAGTCATCATGATAACTCGAGTAAAGCATCAATCGTTACGATAAATACCATCTGTATCGTTACGATAAATACCATCTGTATCGTTACGATAAATAACATCTGTATCGTTACGATAAAATCATCTGTATCACCACACACCACCTTACATCCATGCATCGCACAGCTAGAAGGCTGTATGGCTAGCACGCAAAAAACTCAAAGTATTCAGCCTGTACTAAATCACCAACACATTACTAACACACCACACTAAGAAGCACCAGTACACCCATACAGTCACACAAAACAACACCACCATACCACACACACATGAAACCATGATTTTATGTGTCACTTACAACACTTCCATGTTCTTCCGGGCCACATACATATGCAGAACAGCCATACAGAATGCAGACCTAGGCTGAACCATCACCCTTGTGTACTTGTGTACAAACAATCCGTACGCCCAGTCCTGTATTATGCCAGTCTAGCCTGGGCTCCCACTATCTAACCCGCGCTCGAACAGCTGTGGTCCGAACCGGGACCACAGCTGCGTGACCTGGACTAGGTGTAAGGTTGTTAGTTACATATTACCTAGTACCTAGTTAGTTATTTGTACCTAGTTAGGTGTAAGGTTGTTAGTTACATATTAGAAGACACCAAAAGGAAATCGTTCTTACGAGACTATACCGTCCGTGAGGTTAGTCGTTAAGAGGAGGTCCTACCGTGAGCAACCCATTTCTAGGCCTAGTTGACCTATTGCGCCACTCTTCTGCTGTGCCTTGAGTCAACTTACACTGCCTTCATTTGTGAGCTGCTATATTAGACCAAATGTACCCTAACAATATATTAGCTATTTCTGTTTCATGTAAATTGTTTAAAAAGTGATCATATGTAGAATCTGTTATGCAAGTGTTTAAGTTAGTAATATCAGTCAGTATGAAAGTATTTATTTCCAATATAGGGTTGCGGGTGACGAGAGTGAGCTGCCTCCGGGACCGCGTATTCCAAGCATTTGCTTGGAAGGATGTTCGTTTGCTCCCAGGATCTGGGACGTGCAACGACCTCTGTCATCAATTGTGAACTGTTAGACTGGGCACTCAGCTTGTATGGTCATTTCATTGTTTCTAGCAATACTGTTTCATTATTGTTCTTGTTCAATAAATTAGTTTTTGTCCCTGATGTTTGATGCACCCGCGTAACGAACCAAATGAAGAACAAGACTTCATTACACTTGGGTAACATCATCAACAACAACCACCACCATCACCATCACCACCCCCACCACCACCCACCACCACCACCTCTATCACCACCACCACCACCCCTCACCAGCACCACAACCCATCATCACCTCCTCATGGTCTGTCTCTTATACACATCTAGATGTGTATAAGAGACAGCGNAACCCCGCAAGTACCCTCCAAGTGCCCCGCAAGTACCCTCCAAGTGCCCCGCAAGTACCCTCCACGTACCCCGCAAGTACCCCGCAAGTACCCTACAAGTACCCCACATGTACCCTCCACGTACCCCTCTTGTACCCTACCTTCCACAGAGGGTACCCCTCGTAGGCGTGGAAGCGGCCCTGCATGCAGACGACAGGTACCCCGTCAAGTACCCCCAGTACCAGCTTGCCCGCGTGCCCCTGGACCGTGGACACGGGGAAGTTGGGCACCTCCTCGTAGGGTACCTCGTGGCGCTCCTTCAGCAGGGCCGCTAGCCCCCCTGGGGGGTGCCCGGGGGAGGGGGTTAGTGGGGAGGTGAGGTACTTAAGGGGCAAGAATATATTTAATATTTTCAATATATATATTGAACATATTGAAACAATAATATACATATTATATATATCATAATATATTAATATATTTTTTATCATTAATAACAAAAATATACTATAATTAATTGTAATATATTTAATAATAAAAAGAATATAATAATATTGATATACTAATAAATTTTTAATATATATAATATGATTTTAATACTAATTTAAATGACAATTTTATCTACTATTTATTATAATATTAATTACTATACTAAATATGAAAAAATAAGAAACATTATGCATAGATAAAATTTTATGTTTGCACAATACTCGTTATTAATTTGATTATATTGTGAACTTGGATCTTAGGGCATATTTGTGCTGCAAGGCAGTCAAAAGTTTATAGATATTTCCGATTCATTGTACAAACTTTACTTTAGTTAGTGCTATAACATCGCATGTTGATATCATGTTATCAGTATTAGTACATCGATGCCCAAATTACCTTTGCACCTCTAACGGATATTTAGAGCCATAATGTGAGGTTTAAAAACGCGCTTCATATATGTATACCTCCCAATTTTCGGAATATGTTCATTATATCTCCTTGATCTAATTAATTCTATAGATTAATTAGACGTGATTAATGAGGCGATAATCACCGAGGCCTGAGCCGCAGATGACACCGACGCGAGGGCGGTGCGGTGAGCGCTGCAGCAGGAACTCTGCGCTCTCACTGATCACCTCGTAGCTGAAACTGGGGGAGGGGGGTAACTAGGGTGATTATGAGGGTTGAAAATGATAGGGAGGGGGTGTGATTGTGTGGGGGATGGTTCGTGTGTAGGTGATAACAATAATAATAGCGATTCCAGCGTTTATTAGGCCGTAGGCCTGTCGCCGATTCCTAACATCGCAGAACATTCACAGCATTTAGCGGTCTCGAACACGCAACTCACTGCTACAATTCTGCTGTGCTTAACCGCCCGGCCTCCTCGCCGATTCTGACCAGAAACTGGCGCACAGAGCTGGGATCTAACCCACACCTCTCTGCTCCAATCTTGGGCCTATACTTTCAAAAAAAGCTAAGCGATCGTAAGTTCATCAGTCAATCATTGACGGCCTTTCAAGCAAAATCCACCAATCATAGACAAGAAAATATAGCGTAAATACTTACGTTCACTTAATCATAGACAAGAAAATAGAGCGTAAATACTTACGTTAACTTAGCCAGTTTTCAAAGTATGGCCTCAGGTACTCTGAACTGTAACCACTGGGGCACCCTGCCCTGTTGTTAAAGTGCAACATGGGTTGGGTAATGATTGTGGGGTGGAATGGGTGATGTTATGCTGAGGGTGTTGGTGGTGTGTGGGGTTGAAGGTGTTTGTGAAGAAAATGTGCGTGATCAATTAAATAAATGAATTAATTAACCTATGATATTAGAATTAATCTACGTAAAAAATGCAGCAAAAATCACACAAATGTCAACAGGCAAATTTTAATATTTTTATTCATCAGATAAATACAACAAGCATATTTTGAAAAGCACTACAAATCAAAAACAAAAATGCAAAATTGGAATGATGAAATAAACGTTGTTGATTTTTTATTAAATACATTCATTGCATGGTACACGGGCATGCCACCATTCACTTGCTTCACTATGAAGAAGACTTGAATTTGTTGTAAAACAACTTTATAGCGTTATTATTATAACAATAATCATGATCACCATCATTAATATCACTACCATTCTTATCACCATCACTATTCTAAATTCTGAGCCCTTATAAGCTTGATAATGAACTTTTAATTTAAAACCCTTATATTCAGCCCCACACACGAGACCTTCACTCAGATGTCCACTACACATGAGTTAGTTTACAAAGCACACAGCACACACCTGGCCACACAACCACACAGAAAACTATACACGTGTTGCTGGTGAGCAAACACTAGGACGAACCTGACGTCTGGAGCGCGAGGTTGTAGTAGGGATTTTAATATATTATATATCAAGGCTTGATAATATATAATAATAGAAGGAAAAATATAAAGTTAGCAACTTGGGGATAGTAATATAGAAGTTATAATATAGGGCTAATAATATATGAGTAAAAATATCGGGCTAATAATAAATAATGAATAAAGAATAGGAGTAAGAAGAGACATACTGTATGTAAGTTTAGAAATAAGGGTCAAAATATAGAGCTTACAATATAGAACTAGTAATATAGAGGTAAGAATAGATATATATAAGCTTAATAATAAAATAATGGATATAAGCTTAGTAATGACTTCTGATGTATTATAGACTATATATTTTATTTCGTGCGAATAATCACCAATTTTCGTTTGGTTGGAATAGCTTCGAAAAATTTCGTTTTGCTTATATATTCAAATGCGATATTTCAAAAATATATTATTATTACCAATAATATTAATGATAGCATTAGCATATTAATATCACCCCTAATAACTTAATTGAGGTGTGACGGAGCTATATATATTTCACACACCCATGGAGCCTAATTCCTCCAGGTTCTCAATTTACCCCCACATTTTGGGGTCCCACTTGAAGATTCCACCCAGCAGGGGATTTATTCCCCCATATGGGTGGAAGACTTCCCCCCATATGGGCGTTTATCCCCCATGTCAAGGGGGAAGTGTTATTGTGTCGGGGTAACTATTCCCCATGTCGGGGTAACTATTCCCCATGTCGGGGTAACTATCCCCCATGTCGGGGTAACTATTCCCCATGTCGGGGTATAACTATCCCCCATGTCGGGGTAACTATTCTCCATGTCGGGGTAACTACTCCCCATGTTGGGGTAACTACTCCCCCATGTCGGGGTAACTACTCCCCATGTCGGGGTAACTACTCCCCATGTCGGGGTAACTACTCCTCATGTTGGGGTAACTACTCCCCATGTCGGGGTAACTATCCCTCATGTCGGGGTAACTATTCCCCATGTCGGGGTAACTATCCCCCATGTCGGATGATGAATGATGTGAATGTTGAATGGTATGAATGATGAATGGGATGAATGATGATTGAGTGAATGATGAATGGCATGAATAATGAAAGATAAGAACAATGAAAGTACGTATATAAGGAAAATAGGAGAGAGGAAAGGAGGGAGAGAAAAAGAATATAAATTAAATATTTTTATGTATTATATTTTTCTATAAATTATTTAATCAGTCAATATTTTCATACACAATGTTTTCTCGCTGAATAATGATAGCAAACAACAACTCTTAAGCTTCACAATAAAGACAATTTATCTACAATTGATTTACAATCCAGAAAAATAATCAAACAAATTCAAAATATACACAAACATTTTTCATACCGTTTTTTTAGGAAATTGCACTGCGTTAAAAATAATTCAAATTTATACAAGTTCTTCAAAAGTCAAAAAAATTCACTAACTCAATTTTAAATTAAAGTTTAAGTAAAAAAACAGTTTTTAAGGACATTCCGATAACTTGAATTTTTACCGTTCAAAAAATTTGTGTATTTTATTTCGAAATGAAATGACATGAATGAAAATGTGCAAAATTCACTCACGTATTACAATCAATATACAATAAAACATTTCATTTTGATTAATTAATTAATCAATTTATTTATTTACACAATTTTGTATAAATGGAGAATCTTGCATGCAATAACAAAAAATCGATAACTTTGTTGAAATTTAATAATATTGAAAATAATTTTTTTATCTAAATAATAGATATATACATATATTATACAGAATACAGCATGTATATAATATCGCCAGTTTACAGCATGTATATAGTATTGCCGTTATACAGCAGGTATATAGTATTGCGGTATCGTGAGATGAATAACACGCTTTCACAAAATATTGTATTTCTGTTTCTTTTCTGTTTCTTCTACAATATGATTTTTCGAAATAAAAGTTTTTTGAAGAAATAAATATTTTTTTTAACCTAAATCGGAAAAAGTTTGCTAATACGAAAAAATTTAAATAAATAATATCGACGTAATATAAATAATATATAAATAATATCAACAATAATATCAACGAAATTCATTTTCCACGCGCAAGATAACCACCTCAAGTTCGGCCCGATAAGACACGATAAGACATGATAAGACATGATAAGACATGACAGACATTTCGTTTAATGAAGTTCATGATGACAGTTATGTCAATCATGATTGTGCCAGTCATGATTATGTCAATCATGCATAACATTAAGAAATATTTAGACATTATATGCAATGTCCGTTTTTCCCATGCAAAGATAAGTACATGATAAGAAGGTCTCGGTGTGTCAACTTACTGAGCTTTGTGCTAAGATAACAATGAATGGTAACAAGATAACAATGATTGTTAAGAAGTTAACGATGAATGGTAACAAGATAACAATGATTGTTAAGAAGTTAACGATGAATGGTAACAAGATAACAATGAATGAATGCAATGAAATCGAAATTATAAATAAATGAATGCGGTCCAATTAAAGATTTTTTACCTCTTTTTCGCATCCATGTCTGAACTGTCGCTAGAAAAACGGATAATTGTAGAATTCAGAAGATTATCGTAGAGTCGAATGGATTATCGTAGATCGAATTTAACGAATTGTATTAGAATTTAACGGATTATCGTAGAATCTACGAACTTCTGAGCTCTAAACTATAACATGTATTACCACGTCTTGTTATATAGCATGCACGGTAGTGACCTGTCCACGCACGGTAGACAAGTAGTATTATGATGCCGTATAAACCTGTTCTATTTCTTATCTTCTAATCACAGATACTGTAAGTCTATTATGAAACGCACTAAACTCATTATATGTCGTTTAATTCATATGATAATTATATTAACTCTACGTAAACGACGTGTAAATAGCTATGCATAAGTAAGACTTATTGAATACGTTTTGTTTACGTAGTTGGTAAGCAATTAGTTATTTAAATAGGACTTGAATAAATTTAAATTGAATAAATTAAATTTAAATATGCAGGATTGTTCCTTCCTCAGCACAACACGCGTCTAGATCACAAATCTAGGAAATAACTTTACCATCTACAATCTAGATCACAGATGTAGGAAATAGATTCACCATCTACAATCTAGATCACAGATCTAGGAAATAGATTNACCTGTCAACAACGCTGGCAACACTGCCGTTGCCGGCTGGTTGACTAGTGTTGCCATTTGTTGTTTCCTCGTCAATTTTAGGGCAGGCAACACGTATGGCAACACTGCCGTTGCCGGCTGGTTGACTAGTGTTGCCATTTGTTGTGACAATTTCTGACCTGTCAACAACGCTGGCAACACTGCCGTTGCTGGTTGGTTGACTGGTGTTGCCATTTGTTGTTTCCTCGTCAATCTTGGCCCTGGCAACAGCGCTGGCAACACCGTCAACAGTTGGCGTGGTAATCAGCTGGTTCATGACATGGTTCATGGCGACAGTTTATTATGAATAATATACTGAAAAAAAGCGCAAAATTATATTATGTTATGCGTAAATAAAGATTAGAGTAATAAAAAACAAAGCAAAGAACCAGGCTATAAAAAGAAATGTTTCTCGTACTTAAAAAATGTTTGAAGAAAAACCGAAAATTGTATAAACTTGATAAAAATATGATAAATTATAGCTAATGTAATGTTATATGTGCTACTAAAAACCAATAACATACGATACTATTATATAATTACATTATCATTTAACTACCATTATTAATTATATTACATCATCATTTAACACGATTCAAGGTTAAACCCATTCACAATTTGGAAACAATACGCTATTTTTTATCATTTATAATGTACGGCTTATTATTGTCATAGATTATCAATATTAAATAATTTTAGTAATTAATAATACCATAATTATAAATTAATTTGATTATAATGATTATATTAATTATCATAGATTAATTAAAATTAATTAAAAGTATTATAGATTATTAAAATCTATTCACGCTTCAACCAGTATAATCCAATTATATCCGGTTTTATAAGTTTATTTGGTGTAAAAAGAACTGCTTCCGCGCACTCAGAAGAACCAGAGGGTCATTTTGTCCGAATAGTGACACACTTTCATACCCACACCACTAATAGAGAGTTTTGTCGTGCCATACTGGGTCAGGCTGACCCACACAAGCGCAAGAAGTGCATTGCTATTGCAAGTGAGATTTTAACTGTGCTACAGGCATGGGAGATACATAATATAAATATATAGGATATAAATATATGGATCATCACGGACAGCTTGATAGACTTGGTCTTTATTGATATTTTAAATGAGAAAATTACATGGGCCATCACGAACGCTCTTAGGTAAAGGGTGGTCCACGGGTCCGTAGAGTTTATTCTTTTGTTATTTTATTTTATATTCAATGTTGATAATAAATTTAAAAGGTATTCATGTATATTCATTTTTTGGGTATACGTCACAAGAACGTCTTTTTACGTATAATTTTTGGAGCAACACTTAACCTACATCTGCACAATTGCATGCAGGATAAAAAATTTATACAAATTTTTAAATTTGCTGAAACATTTTTGGAAACGTGAAAAAAAATTTTCGTTAATTATTTTAAGGAGGGGGAATTCTCACAAAATTTGTTCATTAGGTATCAAAGCGTATTTTAAAATACTGAAATTAATTTTTTATGAAAGTTATTTAGGCGTAAAAATCTCTACCAAACGCTCTGAGTTGTGCCTATAAATTATAAGTTGAATACTTATAATTTATAATATATTAAATATTATGATGAAATGTTATATAAAGTTTTTGTGAAATAAACCTGCCGTGTACCACAACCCTGTTATCTTAGGTCGCCTTATAAGATCCAAATTGTAACTAAACAGATGATTATACATAACTACGTATATTTTATATTTACTTGATCCTATAGATCCATATCCATGTGATTTAATTTGTTGAGGTGAAATAATAAAAATTATGAAGCTAATTTCGATAAATAATTTGTCTACAACACATGAATATCTTTCCTAATAATAAATATTATCTCGAAGTTCCATTGAATGAACTATACATGATTTTTAATATGTAACGTGAATGATGAATACGCAATGAAGTCATTTTAAATTTGAAAATGAACAGAACTCGATGATTATGCAAACTCATTAATGTTCATGCATTGTTTTAGAACTACTAGGCATTCATTGTAAATGCATCACAAAATAATATTTACATATTTTCTAAACCTGTTTTATGATCATCCAACGCCAGCACAAAACGCAGCTCGATTCAACGAAAAGAACACGAACAAGAACTTATTCGAAAAAATATTCATTATTTGTTATTCAATTAACAACTTCTGCTTAACTGTACTAATATATATAAATATGTCTCCTTATATACTAGTTTTCTAGAAGACTAGAAAAATAATTTTATTAACAACTATTTTATATTTCGTAAGATTTCAATTTCCATTTTGAAGTTAGAGAACCAATTTCCACTTTCAATTTAGTAAAAAATCCTTATTATACTAATATATTAAAATATCTATACACTGTACACTGAGAAAAAATAATGAGGTTTTGTCCCAATATCGATGCACTTTGCCCTTATGTGGGTCATCCTGACGCAGTTTGGCCAAAAAAATAACGTATCAGTGCTACATTATGGGACAGAATGTACCATTAATTTTTCCTAATGTATTTTAATGCACGTATAGCAGCATATAAAATGTACTGCACGTATAGCAGCATATAAAATGTACTGCACGTATAGCAGCATATAAAATGTACTGCACGTATGGCAGCATATACAATGTACTGCACGTATAGCAGCATATAAAATGTACTGCACGTATAGCAGCATATAAAATGTACTGCACGTATAGCAGCATATAAAAATGTACTGCACGTATAGCAGCATATAAAATGTACTGTACGTATAGCAGCATATAAAATGTACTGTACGTATAGCAGCATATAAAATGTACTGCGCGTATAGCAGCATATAAAATGTACTGCACGTATAGCAGCATATACAATGTACTGCACGTATAGCAGCATATAAAATGTACTGCACGTATAGCAGCATATAAAATGTACTGCACGTNTTACCCTACTTTATATATATGATGAAATAAGAAATATTATGCATAGATGAAATCTTATGTTTGCACAATATTCGGTATTAATTTTATAATATAGTGAACTTGGATCTCTACGGCATATTTTTGCTGCAAGGTAGTCAAAAATTCAGAGTTATTTCCGTTTCATGGTACATAATCTTACTTTAGTTGGTGCTACAACGTCACATTCTGATCTTATGTTATCAGTGCTAGTACTCTTATCTTCAATTAGATGCATATTACTGCGCATATGTAAAGCTAATATATTAGGTTTAAAAACGCACTTTGAGGTATATGTGTGGATTAAAAATTTCTTAATATGTTCATTATTTTTCGGTGATCTAATTAACTTCTATAGATTAATGAGACGCGATTAATAAGGATAATCACCGAGGCCTGAGCCGCAGATGACACCGACACGGGGGCGGTGCGGTGAGCGCTGCAGCAGGAACTCTGCGCTCTCACTGATCACCTCGTAGCTGAAACTGGGGGAGGAGGGTAACTAGGGTGATTATGAGGGTTTGAAAATGATAGGGAGGGGGTGTGATTGTGTGGGTGATGGTTCGGGTGTAGGGTGATGGTTCAATCTTGGTAATCTGAACTGTAACCACTGGGCCACCCTGCTATGTTGTTATAGTGCAACATGGGTTGGGTAATAATGGTGGGGTGAAATGGGTGATGTTATGCTGAGGGTGTTGGTGGTTTGTGGGGTTGAAGGTGTTTGTGAAGAAAATGTGCGTGATCAATTAAATAAATGAATTCATTAACCTATGATATTAGAATTAATCTACGTAAAAAATGCAGCAAAAGTCACACAAATGTCAACAGGCAAATTTTAATATTTTTATTCATCAGATAAATACAATAAGCATATTTTAAAAAGCACTACAAATCAAAAACAAAAATGCAAAATTGGAATGATGAAATAAATGTTCTTGATTTTTATTAAATACATTCATTGCATGGTACATGGAAATTTCACCATTCACTTGCTTCACTATGAAGAAGACTTGAATTTGCTGTAAAGCAACTTTATAGCGTTATTATTATAACAATAATCACGATCACCGTCATTCATATCACTACCATTTTTATCACCATCACTATTCTAAATTCTGAGCCCTTATATAAGCTCGATAATGAACCCTTAATTTAAACCCTTATATACAGCCCCACACACGAGACCTTCACTCAGATGTCCACTACACAAAAGTTAGTTTACAAAGCACACAGCACACACCTGGCCACACAACCACACAGAAAACTATACACGTGTTGCTGGTGAGCAAACACAAGGACGAACCTGACGTCTGGAGCACGAGGTCGTCGTAGTGATTTTAATATAATATATATCAAGGATTGATAATATAGGAGGAAAAATATAAAGTTAGCAACTTAGGGATAGTAATATAGAAGTTATAATATAGGGCTAATAATATATGGGTAAAAATATTGGGCTAATAATAAATAAATATTAAAGAATAGGGGTAAGAAGAGACATATGTAAGTTTAGAAATAAAATAATGGATATAAGCTTAGTATTGATTTATATTGGATTATAGACCATGTGTTTTCTTCAATGGCAATAATCACTAATTTCCGTTTGGTTAGAGCAGCTTTAAAATATTTCTTTTCGTTTATTAATTTTAATACGATATTTCAAAATATATTAATATATTGATATTACCAATAATATTAATGATAGCATTAACATTACCATATTAATATCACCCAAAATAACTTAATTGAGGTGTGACTGAGGTATATATATTTCATAACCCTCCCCTGGAACCTAATT